GAAAACATTAGACACGCAGGATCCTCTTGTTCATGAAGAGGAAGTGGTGAGATTTGCACCCTCTTCATGGCAAGATTGTCCTGTTTGGTTGTGGGGTTTTGTGCTATGCTATCATGAGGGTGAACTCGTGTTTTCAGTTGTTAATGGGACTCCAGGTGCTCGGCATCATAAAAAAATGGAAAATATCAACCCAATACAGGAGAATATTTCTACCCCCCCTTTGCACAAAAATATCACTCATACCTTTTGTTTCATCTAACGATAAGGACACAATACTGAGTTCACTCATCAACAAGTGATTTCCATGAACCCATGTATCTTTTTTTTTAACCTTGAGATGTTCAAATTATGAATTTAAAAGATTTCTGCAGAACAACACACCAACTGAACAACTCTACTGCAGGCTCTTCATGATAGTGAAAAAAATGCAAATTATGTTGATTATATGGAACTAATTCACAGTTTGCCTTTTAAGTAATGGTCTGTGACATAATGCTCAGTACATTGTCCTCCCCATCCTTGAAGCACAGTATAGTACAAAGAGTAGAGCAAGTTTGTTTAGGAATTATTTCACAAAGTGAATATTTACTGTGAGAATAGAAGTTGGAAGAGAAGTAACATTTTTGAATAAATAAAAACATTGCTTTCTTGTTGTTACCTGTCCTTATACTTAATCACGGCATCAACAATCTTCTTCATCTTCTTGGTGAGGTTGGGTGGATTTGGTGACAGCTTCTCAGCAGGTGGTCTGCCACGCTTCTTCTGCTTTTTGCTGTCATCATCTTTGTCCCGGCTGCGAGTGCTAGTGGTTGGGGTGGATGAGCTGACATCCACGTCCCTCTTGCGTTTGCGAGAGGATTTCTTCTGGCGCACCTCCTCTTCTATCTCCTCCAGTGTGCCCTCCTCTATGGCCTACAGACAGGAGCAGCAGTCCGTCAGCCAGGTACAATGAACAGGATGCATGAAGATACCACCCGTGAAATGGTAAAACACAAACATTCACACACAATCGAGCAATCTAGCACAGTGAGTAATGGAGCTTTAAGTGGACTACTTCCCATAAGATGCTATTTCCCAGGTTAACCAGAAACACAGACTGCCGCAACTGCAAGGATGGGAAAGGAAAGTTGGTTTTCTTACCTATGAGCTTTTCTTCTCATGTTAAACAGGGCCAGCAGACAGGGATCTTGCAGAGGATTTGGTAGAAGCTATGCAGTGCAGGGAGTGGGGATGCCCCATCCTGCCAGCTCAGATGCAAGATTCTTTCAAAGCTGCAAAGAGATCTGCACCTACTAACCACCTATTAACCATACATATTACTGCTTCAGATTGAATATCAGGAGAGTAAAAGAAGCAGGTGGACTGCAGGCCATGTATAACAGAAGTAGGAAAACTCAACGAGTAAAAACTGCCCATCTTTCCTTTTTCTTTAGTCATACACGGGTAAACATTCTCCAGTATTTAGCAACCAGAGAAAAGTTACCTAAGATTGCAACTCTGACACCATCAGTTGTGTCAGCAAACTGTGGGAGGGCTTTTAAGGGAAGAATGGCCTGCCAGCATGGTTCTAGTCCTTACCAGTTATCCAAACAGTGTCTTCAATGCATACTTGTGATTTACAAGATTTCATATGCAAATAGTTTACAGTCTACATTTTGACAGTGGAAAGTAAACATATGGAGAGGAGTGGCAATACAAAGATATTGAGGCATGAAGATGGTCATTCATGCCCAAATATCTGCAGGCTCTCCAAAAGGGGAAGGGAATGAGAGAGAGAGAGAGAGGGGGGGGGGGGGGGGGGGGGGGGGGGAGAGAGAGAGAGAGAGAGAGGGTGGGGGGAGAGATCCATGCTTCCATGCTGAGAACCTTGGGCCAGGAAACATCATCCTCACAAGACCTCCTGTATAAGGGTTAAAGCATGAGATCAAAGAGATCTGACTGCACCTGAATGCAAGACTGAAAGGCATTTCTAATCCCTAGGTGCAACTCTGAATGGTAAGGATACCAATTATATAAAACTATTAAATTCCTAATTGCCAGGTTCAAATTTCTAGGCACCTGAGTAACTAGCACTTGGCATGTTTCCCTTTTTTGCAGTATGATGCACATACCTTTTGCATACATTAGACTTTTGCTTACATTAGAATAAAGTGACTCAACTGATGGCTTTTTACATTTCAAATGGGAAGGGGCTTTAGCTCAGTGGTCAAGCACATGGTCTGCATGAACAAGGTCTCATGTTCAGAGAGCTGTTAGTAGCTGGAGTATATAAGACTGGGCTAGATAAACTTATGGTCTGGCCAGGCAGTTTCGTATGAGGGGGTCAATCCATCTCCTCCCTTAGATTATTCTATGGGGAAAGGAAAGAGAAACTAACCTTGAAAATCACCTCCTTTGGCTCAAAATTCCCTTCCATCCTACCTCCAAGCACCAATCAACTTAAGAGTTGTTTATGCGCCCTGTTCTACACTGACAACAATCCTGGGCAATGCGAAAGTAATGTGTGTGTATGGCTGTAGGCTGTTCATCTCTCTGTTTTACAAAAGTATGGCGTTCCTTGCCTCTCTGATCCTATACTACTCCTCCTTTGGTGCCATACACTCAAAGCCGACTTCACAAATATTCTGCAGGAATCTGTGCTACAGGCACAGCAATGTCAACCACCAAAGAACTCAGACCTGGCATTTGCATGACTCAAACCAAATCTGGTTAGTTTTGGACATAGAGAAAGCACAAACAGGAGAGATGCAAATGGCTCCTGAATGACTTCTGGAACTAGAAAATTCACTGGACTCCTATTTAGACACTTGGGATACCCTCAACATATGCCTTTGATTTCTCAGCCCCACTTCCTTGTCTTCCCATAAATCTGGAGGTTGCCATCCTGTATACATAATTCTTGAAATGGTTCTCTTTAATTCTGCTCAAGTGGAGCCCAACATACAGTGCTGCCTCATCTCCCTCAGAGCCGATACCAAACATAAGGATGGGCAGGGCTGTAGCGTTCCTTCCCTTCCTCTCACCTCTATTGCATATTTCAGTGCATGGCTCTGCCAAGGTCACCTCTAGAGAAGGGGGGGGGGAGATGCAATTATTCAGCAAACTACAAATACAGGAATATAGGTAACTTCCTTTTTATCTGTCAGGGCTCCGTGTCAATTAGTACCTACCTAGAAGGGATGGAAGATGTGCAGAACATTAGCTGTGGGACACCCATTCCCTCCTTTGCTGTTCCTCTTCAAGAGGCAGCAACAGATCACTCTGATTTGACAAATGTACCACTGAAGACCATGCCAGAGCCTTCCAAAATGTCCATCACACAGGCACACGGGTCAGAAATGCTGGAGATGCCCCCTGGGCTCTAGCTGGAAGTGCCTTACATTTTAAAAAAGGCACAGGTATGAAATGTTAATAGCAGAGTCTGAAGGAAATCTCCAAGAGCTAAAAGTTCCTTTCTTTTTCTTGTTCCAGAACAGAAATGATATTTATTGTCCCATGAAATAAAATGACAAAACCTCTCAAGGTATATAAAATAGTTTCTCTTACTAGGATACTGCATTAGAAACTCAGGGCCTAAGGCTTTTACATATTTCCTGGAGAATACAGCTTGTCAATACCTTCCCTGGGTTTCTGACCAAAATCTCCACTATCCAAGCCCTTGCATTTTGTCTTCAACAGGGGATTGTCCTTGGTTATGGGGCAGGACAGGGAGGGAAGACACATCCAAGAAATTCTGCACCCAACCAGTGAAACATTATTCTTTTGTGGCCACACATCAATCTAGCATTTGTTGTATTCCATAACATGTCAGGGTGGAACTTAGTGAAGGAGCCTTAATCAAGCCAGGTTTCGCCAGACCTTTATACTAGTTTCCATAGCCCAGAGCTAGGCTTAAAGATTTATACCATCATGTTCTCCTGAGGGGGCTACAGCAAGATCCCAAACAATCCCTTTCTTAACAAAGGCAGGATGAGATTACCTGCTCCAAGGCAAGGAGAAAAGCATTATCCTAAGGACAATGCTTTTTTTTTTTGGTGAAAAGTTGGCAAAGAAGCCATTTGTCTATTTCCCAGGTGCTGCCTGATAGACACTGATGGATTTGCCCTCACATTTCTTCCAAGGGCCTATGGACATTTCTGGCCACATTCAACTGATTAGCATTTCAGGCAAGGAGCACTGGGTGGCTGAATTTCTTGCCACATTACAGCTTTTTAAATAAAGCTGACCACCCTAGAAAAGCCTTTTCCAGCCTGGACCCTCCAGGTATGTTGGATTTCAGCTTTGCTCCAGTCATACTGCTGCTGTTTTGCACTTGGGCTATCAGGAATAATGTTCTCTTGTGTCCCTCTTTGCTTCAGCTCCCATCCACCTGTTGCGTCAGAGGAAGAAAGTGCACCTTCACCTGACTCACCACTGTCTCCATCAGTGGAAGTTGCTTCTTTCTCTAAAAGCTGATAAGCTAATTAGGGTATGTCCAGACAAGACTTTACATGGACAATCAAGTCTTGATCCAAGGAACTAGAAGTGAAAGGGTCTGGATAACAAAGTCACCCAACTGTAACTCTCCTAGGTTTCCCCACTTCTTCTTCCATGTTTTTTCTTGCCATGGAAAATTCTTTGTGGAAAGATGGAATAGCTGCCCTATGCCTTCCACTTGTTAGTGCTTAGATTCCTCCGTCTGGAAGTACCCTTTGTTTAGAAAGAGTTAAAGTCATGCTTGGTTGCCTTTTTGTTCCTTGCAGCTAATACAGTTTCTGCAGTTTTTAAAATATAAAACAAATTCTTTGGATCTAGCAGGAAAAAACAAAAGAGGTGATTTGCAGTAAAAGCAGCAGAGATATAACCTTGCTTGGCAGGTCATTTTTCTGAGTTAACATGATCTTCATTACCCTTCCTAAAATGTCTAACTTCATGCAGAAGCAAAAGGACTAGACTAGCTTTCTCCCTGCCACCCTCAAACATGGTGTAAAACAGAAAATGTGGTCTTACCTTCCTTGTTTCTATTTGTTTGATAGGTAGCGGTCCAGACACGGGGCACGTTTCCTGCCCAGTCAACAGGGGGCAGATGTTGAGGAAAATGTCTCTGGGATGGACTAAGAGGTCACCATCTCTTCCTCTGGACAACCACTTAGTCTTAGCCTAGCAATGAAGACCCCACACAGCAAGAACACGGAAGTCAACAGACCACCCCAAAACAGGCAGGTTCTGGATTACTGCCCATTAAACAAGCAGAAGGAAAATTTATGCCTCAGATCAAATATTCTGTTCTATTTGTTGCTGGGCAGTGGTCCAGTCACCAAGGTGGTTAGGAAGGTCCATGACCCTAAAACAACTACCCTACACACGCAAGGTTGTGCCAGACACAGACATTCCATAACAGCAAGCTTCTAGATTTCTCAAAAGTAACCTTCTGATGATTAGCTAATGGTACTTCAGACCTGACTGGATAGAAGACAGTAGGACATGCCAAGAACTTCAGAATCCTGAGTTTTGTTCGTGGTTTTTGTAATTATTTCATTTGCACATGAGTTCTGGGTCTTCCTAGTAAAAAGTAGGCCATTCTCAGAAATCACACAGCACTCTGAAATATGCACCTTGATCCCTCCTTGTCTGCCTGCTCAGCACACAGGCAACAAATAAAGCAGATCACCACCTGAACAGCTCATTTCTAGGCAGCTGCATAGTTTCCATGCCCACAGACTGATCTGATGATACGCTCTAAAGGCAGTACATGGAACATCACAGTATACCAGATCTGGGTGCAGAAGTCAACTTGAACCTATAAATACTGCTGAAGTAAGAATTTTGCAATTCCAAAGTTAATGTTAGAAGTCTGTTTGATGCAATGAGAAACAGCTGGGTGTGTTTGGATTTTTGCCTCCATCAGCAGATATTTTATAGCTTGTAGGACTTCAAATCCACTGTCTGCAGTGTATATTCACAAAGGCTTTTTCACAGCATCTTCACCTGCAAAGGAAAGTTGTTGCCATGAATCTTTCAATGTCAGGGCTCACAGGTTAAAGCACAAAAATGAAAGTAAACTCAAATCCAAAGCGCCGAAGTACTGAGCATGTTTTCAGCAAGGTTTTGAACCCATGTCAAACTCAAATCAGGACCAGTAAGCAATGTTCTACTTGGTGAAAAAGACCCAAGCTGGTCTCCTAAGGTTCGGGAACACCTGAAAAATCACTAGATTGATGTAGAAGTGTTGTCTGTATGAATTCTGAAGCACTGTGCCTAGTGCATCCTGAAAATGTTGTAATCCGGACAGGACAAAACAAGGCTCCTAAGCCTAGTCACTGCGACTATACCTTGCAGATCTGAGGTGTGGAAAACTCTGTACCACCTCTGTGAATCTTCTTTGCTTCCCCAGAATTGATAGCCAGCCAGGAATCTAGTTAGTTAGAGTAAGGTCTGGAGTGGTTGATAGGTCTTCTACAGCACTGCCATCAGATAAGCTGGAAAGCACTTAAAGGTAGATCCAGGATCTGAGCTTCAGTCTCCCATCCTTGGAATTCATATGCAGCACAGCTGGTATCTGGAACCATATAGATGATGGATCCTCTGAGAAGAATGAAATGGGTCCAGTTGCAGTTGCTTATAAACATGCTAGGATCCCTTAATTCTGTCTTAGATTCAGTCTCTATGGGTGTATCATCCTGGTAGGAGTATACAAACTCAAATCCTTCTAAATCGCCACAGCCAGTATAACTATCTTGGTAAACGTCCTAAGTGAAATGGTCAATTTCAGCATGCGATATCGACTTTAGGGTCAGAGCAATTTCTCTTCTAGCCTAGTAACCCATGGTGAAAAGCAGTAATTCTCTAATGTGTCAGGCAGAGCTCTATTCCTGCCTCTGGTCCATCTGTAATTCTGCTTGAACGCAAGACCTCATGCATGCAAAGAATCTGCTCTACCAGATGGTTTCAGCCCCTGACCCTAACCCAAGAAGACAAGAAACGTGCTAGCCAGAATGTGAAACTCATCTCCAAGATAGGTAACCTCACTACCCCATCAAAGTTACAAGGAGCTGCTTTGCACTGACTCTGATCAGGAACATCAACCCTGACTGGATGCACCTAACTCAAACTTTCCAGCAAAGATTTTTATAGGTCTTCAATGGGATAGATGCTGTTGAAGTCTATGAACTTCAACAGTCTATGGACTTCAATACTCTCTTGAAGATAAATACCGAAAAACCACCTTCTCTGAGAAAACAAGTTCCCTCTTATCAATTCTTCAGAAATAAGAAGAGAAGGCAGCAGTTATATCCAAAAATGTTTCAACTTGAATCATTAGACACAAAATTTAAACCTTCAAACCAAAAGCAATTCTGCAGTGTATGAGACTGGTACAAATGCCTTCAATAACTCTTCTTTTATGTCCTTAATGCAAGTTAGAACATTTTCAATGGTAGAAGCCATCTTAGCTACCACAGGGTAGACTATGGATCCATTCATCTTTCTGTGTTGCTGGTCCATAGTTCTTGTTATCTCCCTCAGCCAGCAAGCAGGAGTCCATAAAAAGGAATGCTGCAGTTTCAAAATATTTCCAGTAACAAAAGCAGCTGAGGCTCCGGGTGGAACTGAGAGATCATGAAGAGGGTGCCTTATCTGGATCACCACAAGAAGCTATAAGATATGCCTTGAAAGCTGAGTTCCAGGAGATGTCCTTGAACAACAGGATGGAAGGGAGGAACTGTTGATACTGAATTTCATAAATAGATCCTCTGGCTTCAGGTTTGCATTCTTTATCTTGTGGTAAGTTAATCAAAACAGCCACATGTCTCCTCCTTTGCTGGGCAGCTCTTCAGCTTGAATCACCTCTCTTTAACCTTTAATTCAGCACCTGGGTTATTCTGCAAAGGAAAAAAATTCTGGTCTGTTCAGCATCAGACCACAGCTAATTAAGCCTCTAACTCTTCTCGTGTAGCAGGCAGAGGTGACTGACATTGGAGGAACAGTGGTGCCTCTGAGTCTAGCTCAGGGCCAGCTTCTTCCCGCCACTAAAGCCTGCCCTCCTACTGATCAAAGAAGAAGAAGAACACCCAATCTCTGGATCACTGCCCAACAACAAGTAGGATGAAATGTTTGCTGGGACAGGCAAGAAGAAGGTACACTCAGCTGCATAGCAAGCAGGCTTTCTGCATCTGAAATGTCTGACATCTGTCAAGGAGATCAATTGAATTTCAGTTTAGCAACATGTTTCCACACAGTTGAGTTAATAATACCCAACAGAAGTTTTGCATGGTGAGGGTGATGTCTATTTTAAGTAAATTTACTGCCAAAACAGGAGGTAGGGTTAGATCATCAATTTAATAGTTTTATACAGTATCTCCTGTTAGTGTGTAAAGGAAGCATTTATACTAAATTGAATAATTGGTAGGCCAATCTCAGCTGGCCATCAAAACTTCCAATACTGGGTATTTTCTCAGCATTCAGACACACAGACAACACAGACACAGGTAGAAATAAAATTTTAGAAAATCATTGGAGAACGATGCTGTACCATGTATACCTTGAGCCACTGCTTCTCAGTCAGCGAGTCACTATAGTCCACTTCCTTACGGTGACGGGAACCTCGCCCAAACATCTTCTCTTCTTCTTCCTCACATGTTAGTCTTTCCACTTCAGCATCATCTTTAATGATCCAAGAGGGCAATTCATCCTCTTCCATCAGACGTGGCTTTCGCTTTGGATTGCGTGCTTCTTCTCGTCTACGGTCCAAGTCCATGCGCTACGAGGAAAACAATCTATGGTGAAGATGCTAAATAATACTAGCCATTCTGGTTGAAAACATTCAGGCATTTATTCCATGGTGTAGCTCTGGCATTTAAAGCTAGTAAAGCCTTTGCAGTTCTATTATCCTAGCCTAAAATAAGGATTCACAAAGCACAGAAAGATCAGCAATGCATATTCTGCATTGCAATGCAATGTATTAATTAGACTGATGAGATGGCAATGGGAACAAAAGAAAGCTTGGGGAGGGCCTTCAGATCCTGAAAGCAGCAAGTTCTACAACAAGTAATCAGAGGACTGGAAAAGTTCCAGAGCAGTTGTGGTTAGCATTGAGTAACTGGAAGAGAGAAAAGCAAGGGATAAGAATAGTTTGTACGTGAGTCTATAGTATGAGCACATCATGCAACCTCAGTGATGTTTCTACAGACAGACAGTGAGGCTTCATCAGCATGCACTGGACCATGAGACAAGGCTGGGACTTGCTACCAAGTGGTAACAGAGCCCAACAGCATGCCCTTCCTATGAGGTAATCATGATGTATAGTGCGGATGAAGTTAAAACCACTCTTGGAATTTTGCAGCTAGAGGTTCCCCTGCTGCTTGGAAATTCTAAGAACAGACAAAATCTGAAGATTCTTGGTGATCATCGTCTATCTTGTGAAGATGGATAACATTTGGGGTGGGGGAAAGAGTGGGGAGTGTTGTGCTCCCCCACTAAGTGCTCAGGGATAAAGAGGAATATAAATATAAGCTAAAAAAATGAATGAAAACTGTAGATGGGTTGTTTTCCCTCAGAAAGCTCCCAGAAATCATTTAGGTTCACACTGTTAATCTATTCTGGGCCCAAAATGCAACCCAATTAGGAACAAAATACATTGACACCTAGTTGGTTGTTTTACATCATAAAAGGTACTAAGAATCACAATATATGATGCACAAAAAAGCTACATGAGAAAGGTAGCTTCTGAGGCAGGGGATGAGGGCTGGCTGCAATCCTACATACACTTGGAAATAGCCTGCCTACCATTAATGTAGTTTATTTCCATGTTAATGGGCTTTGCAGGCCAGCATGTATGCTCAGGAGCTTGCTGAAAGACAGAGAGACCATTTTTCTATTCTGTTCCAAAGGAACTGTATATGTTGATATAGAAGAATATGCATTTTGCTCTACCTCTCAAGAGCTCAAAGGACACCAATTCAAGCCAATGCAAACACTCTGGTAACTCCATCCCCTCAGAACTGTCATTAATGATAGGTATCAATGAACATGCATTTATAGTATACAGGCAAGACATATAAGGTATAGTCTAGTTGAAAGCTGCCATCTCCAAGCTGCTCCCCAGCTGCTTCTCTCCACTGTTAACCCAGCAGGTGAACAAGTAGGGGGAACTACCCCCCACCAATGTGTGGCTATTGGAAACACAAGTGCATAAGCTGAGGGCAGGGGCTTCAACCCACCCTTTGCCTTCATGCTCTGAAGGAGGGTGGATAGTTCTGGGAGAAGGGGACAAAAAGAAGAACATGGGGTAGTGAATGGGGTGTTTCCACCAGTCTCTAGAACTCAGGTAACTGGCAGGAAAGGTATCTAGCCACTAGCAGGGCAGGCTGTACCCTTGTGGAGGTGATATCTGGCCCCAAGTCAAACACCTGCAGTATGTTAGTTGCTTTAAGTCTTAAAGTAGGCAATGAGCTTACATAGTAAATAAATAATTGGAGACCAAACACCTTGCTTAGGGAATTTCTTTAAGTCTTGTTTTAGATTTGGTTTCTGTGTGGACATTGCAATTACAATGAATTCCCTTTCAGCATCAACCTCCTACAGCACTTGGCCACCTCTCTCAAACACACTCTAGACCATCAAAGACCTGCACCAAATGTTTCTCAAGCTGCTGCTTTCGTAAAGTAATCCATCCTGCTTGTATGGAGGGCTGCTTAGCTGATGCAAGGACTTGCCCTCCCACCAAATGCACCATCTGAATGAATAAAACTGAACACATTCCTCGTAAAGACAAGGCAAAGGTAGATGCTGCACAAATCTGGCAAGTGCACCCTCCTTGGCACCCAGCCCCCACCCCACATAGGCACACCACACATTCTGTTCTCTTCTTCCTGGCAGGAGTTGACCTCCAGCTCTGTTCTACTTAGTGCTCCTTATGGATGCCCTACCATTAGGATAAATTCCACAAAATAAAGCTGACCTGTTGGAAATACAAGAAGCAAGGCATTCATTCTCACCATAAAAAGATCAAACTCCTCCTCATGCCGGGCAATCATCTGGTTAACTGTTTCATCATCAGGAACTTCATCTTCTTCCTGAAAGATTTCAAAATTCCCCCATTCAGAGCATGTGCAGCGATACAATGTGGTGGCTCACGTGCTTGGAGCTCTATAGTGAATGTGGATCTACCATGTCATGTTTGATTTGACGACTCATGTGAAGATGAGTTAGGTGGTCTCAGTGGACTGTATCCACATAGCAGAAGCTCATCATCCAAGTTGGCAACTTTGTTGCCAGACTTAAACAGTGAGGCTAAGGACTGGACGGGCGCGGCAACTGAATTACCCCTCTCACCTTTACAGGTGGCTCCTCCAAGTCGGAGTTGAGGCACAGGGTTGAGGCAGTGTGGGGAAAGCTTGCGCTGCCACTGCCGCTGCCCGTGCTGTATCTGGTCTGTGGATAGATAGAGGACTTCAGTCTCCACGGCTGTCAATCCAGCACCTTCCACTGACACTCAAATTTACTTCCTAGGATGACAAGGGTTCATTCCATTTCCTTCCAGCCCACTGGAGGAGGAGGCAGCAAGACCTCCATGGCCCCCTTACCTCATCCTGCTCCTCATGTTCCAAGATAGCCTGGAGGAAAGCTCGCCTTTCATGGCTGGACGACTTCTGGTCAAACATGCCAGCCTGGATGACTTTCTGATCAACATTGAGCTTGTACTTGGCTGCAGCGAGTATCTTCTCCTCCACACTGTTCACGGTACAGAGCCGCAGCACACGCACTTCATTCTGCTGTCCAATGCGATGGGCCCGATCTTGTGCCTGCAAGTCCTGTGAGGAGTGGGGAAAATGCTCTCATAATTCAGAGCGATTAACATTTTGTTCAGCTTGATTATGTTTTTAAACACAGCCTGCCAAAAGGGTTCAATCCACACTACTTCAATGTTGGCCCTCAATGCTGAATGCATGTACTGCAGGCTACACCAAGCTGGGGATTAGACTGCTTCAAAAAGAAAATGCTATTTCATACATGGATTCTACTGGAGTTCAAGGTTTTCATTCCTAGACCTACCTTTATCTCAAACATGCATTTGTGGACCTGAATTGAACCCCCAGTATTTCTCTGGTGGTAACACTACTGTTGCAACCCACCTCAGGCCAGTCTGTGAACCAGTCATATTCCCTAATCCATGAGATAAAGGCCAGTGTTCTACCCAACTCATTCAACCACAAGTATCCAATTTTTTGGGACCATCTATTATGTCACACATGTAATGAAAACACACAGCTCTGAAAGTCATTGAGTAGACATCTAATTCATTAGAGAAGAAACAATACTTCTTATGCTTGCTAAGTAAAACAGCATCAAGCATTATCTGGTTTCAGGCGCAAGCAATCCTTTGGTTTCTGTACACTGAGAGGCTCTTGGCCTTAAGCTGGCAATTCAGTGAACAGTAAGCATTTTCTGAATGAATGACTTGTGAGAAACAGCTATGTAGAAATCTATTCATTGTAGGCCAGGCTGCTTTACATCTGGGTTCCCCAACCTTTCTGAGCCATTGGGCACATTAGGAATTTTGAGAGTGCCATGGCTGCTTTCCCAAAGTGGAGAACATTTGGTGGTGGGGAGGTTGCCCTCCCCAAAACACCCATATTCCAGAAGGTAAACCAATGAATCTGACAGAACTAACTTACCCAAAAACCTAAATACAGGGCAGAGGTGGAATCTGAACTCCAAAACACAAACTATGCTTGTGTACCCGGTTTTCTGAACTAATTTCACAGTGGACAAACTGATGAGACTAAGAGACAAGTAATTTTAGTCAAGATGCTAAGCAGAAGGCATAGGTATGGTTGGAGCAATAAATGCTAAATCACATATTTGTCTCCACAAAGCACAACAAAAAACCCATAGAGAGCAAGCAGGCAAAACACATAGCCTTTACTCTCCTGCACTCCACTCTAGTCCCCAAGGACACTCCCTACCACATCCACCTTCCCTTTTTCTAGGTAGTCAGAGGTGCTTGAAAATGAAGCTCTGGGTTGCACCTGCATGGTTCTTATACTGCAAAGGCATCTGGGGCTCTCATGGACCCAGGGGCATTCTTAGAAATAAAGATGGCACTTGCTTCCAGGCTTTAGTCTGCAGAACACCAGCCTCCCAAAAATATCTTCTTAAAAATCAGGTGATCCAAAGAGGCTGGCAGGTGCCAAGGGTGGTGTTCACCCTGGAGCTCCAGCTCTAGGTAGCTCCCCCTGCCCCCCCCCATACCCCTCTCCTGGGGATACTTAAGATTGCTGAGCCCTAGTACAAGACAGAAACAAAGAGGATCCAGCTAGGGATCTCATGCCATCAATCCTGAAAGGACCATCAAAAATTGTTGATGAAGCCCCTCCCTCACTTTCCCAGGAACTGCTTACAACCTCTGAACCCTGATGGAATTGGTCCAAGGGAATTCTGTTCTGCTTTTATTGTAACATTTGTTTTAGTTAAACCACCCATTGGATGTCCTGGCAAAGGCAATATATAAATGCATAAAATGCAATAAACTAAAATGACAGAGAAAGGTATCCAGCATGGATGGTACAATGCAATGAGCAAGCAGCTGATTTAGGGAATAAGATGAATCTCCACTACATTATCAAATTTAAACGAACCTTATCTCTCTTTATAGTTTCTAGGCAAATACAGGAATGCAAAACATCCATAAAAGCTTTATAATCTAGGTTTCCTTTGTGATAAATTGTTCTAGATTCACTGCCAAATCAGAGCAAAAAAATAATAAAAATCTTCAGATGTGACAGATTTAGCATCACCAACTCTACATAACCACCACCACCCTGCCCTAGTGATCTATTTCAAAATCCTTTTTCTTAAGCCCAATAATGTTTTTATTTGTTACCTGGTGAGGATTCCAGTCACTGTCAAAAATTATCACAGTGTCAGCCGACTGCAGGTTCAGTCCCAAGCCCCCTGCTCGGGTGCTCAGTAGAAAAATGAAATATTCAGAGCCTGGCTCATTGAAGGTTTTCAGCAACATGCCACGATCTTCTGCTTTAGTGGTCCCTTAAAATGTTCAGAGAAGAGAAGGTTTGCCCCATACTACAAATATATGTTTTTGATAGAAATAGTATCACCATTGGAACTCCAGAAATCTGGAAGAGCATGCAACTGGCCCACAGAAGGAATTTATTTTACACTAGGCACCAAAACATTTGAAAAATAGCTGCATCCTAAAATTCTCACATCTGGACAGCCTGACTGTCAATTTAAGTGTGTTAACTCATACAAATAATACAAAATGCAACTTGCAATTAGAACACAATCAGGTGGTTTGGATTGGCAGATGGGGAGGGGGAAAAGACCGGGGGGGGGGGAATCAGGGAAGTTGATATTGATGCTTTCTCCCAATCCTGCCTCCCTCTCTGTTCTGAACTCCAAGCTGGGGATAAGAGGAATCACATAGATATGAACCCTGTAGCAGAAGCTAATTGTCTCCACTATCATTCGTCAACAAAGCCAGCAAGACAGGCTAAGATCTCTCTAAAGCCTGGCTGTAGCATCTATACAGTTGGAGCTCTAAACAGCCAGAAGCAATGGGTAGACCATCTGCCAAGTTCTCATGTCAGCAACATGGAGATCCAGATCTCCATGGCTGCTGAGTGCAGCCTGAAATAGGATTTACAGAATGGTGCTTATAAAAGAAAATATGCACTGATGACATAAAAAGGCTTCTGACCTGCACAATATATCACAACCATCATATTTCAGTATACCTTCGCTTCTCTGTTACTAAGTAGAGTGTAATATAGCCCACATTTTTGACCAACATGCTAACAAAATTATGTGACTGTACCATATCAGACTGAAGAGATGGGACACTGAGCTTTTGCACGCAAGGACACTGCTCATCATTCCACTCAGTTGCTTATGGGAGCACTAGAGGACATTGTGACCCTCCCCTTTTGCTTCTGCTTCTAAACAGCACTTTCAATGAGGGTTTTTTTAAGAACAGGAAAAAATATAGCATTTATTTATAAAAGCAAAAGAAAGGCAAAAGAAAACACTTTTTTCATTTGTGTATTCGAGTCATCCTACCTAGGGTTTATACACTGGAAACCAGGGAAGGAATGTTCTTTACATAGTGCTTGTATCTCAATACTGCTACAAACCTGTATACACTGGAACAACAGCCTTATGTAGAAAAAGCTCAATCTGGCATTCATCTGGGGTACTCTATAGACACTTATTTCCCTCACTGTGTAAAGTGCCAGCAGGTGAGCTCAAGTCATTAAAAAACAGCTCTTGAGTCAAGAGCATAAAAGGAAAGATATGAATGATCAATGTCAGCAAGAAAGAAAAGGAACAAATACAGAGAGAATATGCTAAAACCATCTTATAATGGAGGAATGCATTTACTTGAACAGCACAATGATTTTTCAGTTCATGACACTAAGGGACATGGAAGGATGGGCATTGTAGGTCACTACAGTGGAACAGTTAACCAACTAAGGAAACTTGGGTTATTTGACAGTGTCTTGCTGACATTCTAAAAGTGTTAACACGGCTACTGTTTTTTTATTAATGCATTCTTCAAATTAAATGACACAATGGAAATTGGCAAAGTATGCATCTATATAAACCTACAGAAGAGGGAAAGGTGCATATAGTGGACCCCAAGTGAAAGTCATAAAGGCAGGGTGCTTACCTGTAACTGTCGTTCTTCGAGTGGTCATCTACGCATTCACACCTATGGGTTTGCTGCATAGCACGAGGCCTTGATCAGATTAAATTCCCAAAGCTCGGTGTCATGGAGTGGGGGCAGGAGTCCGGCCCTCCCCCTGTGCAGGTAGCATGGAGCGGGGCTCCCACCCAGTCCCTCAGTTGCCTGCAGACACTGCCCCAGGCGTGCAAGGGATCCAAAGAGCCCGTGAAGGATACAGCGGTGACTGCACCCTGACCCAGCCCATTCAGGGCGAGAGGCTGACGATAGCCAGTGGGGTGGAGGGCAGGTTGTGTGAATGCATGGATGACCACTCGAAGAACGACAGTTACAGGTAAGCAACCTGCCATTCTTCTTCATGGTCTCCGTGCAATCACACCTATGGGCAACTAGAAAGCTTACCGTCCAGGAGGAGGTGGCTGTCTTCACCAGAGAATCGCAGAGAGCACTGCCCTTCCGAAAGCGCAGTCCCATCTGGCGCGGACATCCAGCTGGTAGTGGCGGATGAAGGTCAAGGGCACAGATCACTTCATGGCCTTGCAGATCTCTTGGAGTGAGACACCAGCTGGCAGCACAATGGAAGTGGCTTGTGCGTGCATGGAGTGGGCATGCGGGCAGTCCGTTAGGGGAATCTTGGCCATCTCATAGGCAAGGGAGATGATGCTGGAGACCCATTTAGAGTCTTTCACTGGAGACGGGTCCACCTGCTCTGGGGCCCTTGTAATGAAGAGGCGCTCAGAGTGGCATAACGGCTCAGTCCAGGCCCTATAAAAGGTCAGGGCCCTCCTAACATCGGGGAGATGGAGTGTGGCCTTGATGCGGGTGGAGGAGTTGGGGAAGAAAGCAGGAAGGACAATGTCCTGGTCGACATGAAAAGGAGACATCACCTTAGGGGTGAAACGAGGGTCAGGGCGGAGGACGATCTTGTCCCTGTGGAACATGGTGAAGGGAGCTTCGATCCGTAGGGCAGACAGTTCGCTGGCATGTCAAGCGGAGGTGATGGCCACTAGAATACGTTCTTCCACGAGAGGAGATGAAGATCTGATGTGGCCATGGGCTCGAAGGGCCTCTTCAGGAGGGCTTGTAATACCACTGAGAGGCTCCAGGAGGGTGTGTGTGGTCAGACAGGAGGGACCATGTTTTGTAAGCCTCTGAGGAAGCGGAGTGTCAGGGGGTGGGTGAACACAGAGGACCACTGAATTGGGGGGTGAAAATGGGAGACAGCCACCAAGTGGACCCTGATAAGAGGAGGGGGAGAGGCCCATGACGAAGCGTGTCTGTAGGTACTCAAGGATGTATTCAATGGAAGTAGTGGTGTGGTCGAGGCCCTGATCTGTGGCCGTGGTTGTGAAGGCTCTCCACTTTGTTAGGTAGGAGCGCCGTGTGGAGGGCTTTAGGGCAGCCTGCAGGATGCCAGCACCTGCAGGAGGGAGGGTGCCATATGGATTGATCAGGGTGTGATCCTCCAGGCTGTCAGCCAGAGGGTCAGATGTCTGGGTGCAGGACCTTGCCCTGATCCTGCGACAGCCGGTTGGGGAGAGACGGGAGGCGGGAGAACTCGTTCCTGGACAGGTGAAGGAGGAGAGGAAGCCAGGGTTGTCTCAGGTACCAGGGCGTGACAAGGATGCGACTGGTCCTGTTGCTCTGGAGCTTGGCTATCACCCTGGTTATCAAGGGGAAGGGAAGGAAGGTGTAGAAGAGGTTCCCCTCCCATCAGAGGAGAAAGGCATCCCCTAGGAACCCCATGCCCTGTGCTGCTCTGGAGCAGAACTGTTCGCATTTGGAGTTCTGCGGGATGGCAATGCATAGGGCGTGGAAGGTGGAGGCTTCCAGTTTCCACTCATGCGGGAGGGAGGGGGAGCGGTTCAAGGAGTCTGTGAGGGTGTTGAGGTGGCCCACCACGTGAATGGCTGTGATGCTGATGACCCTCTGAACGCACCAGTGCCAGATGGTGGTGGCCAGGGTAGCGAGGGGGGCGGAGTGTGTTCCACCTTGTTTGTTCAGGTAGTACATGACTGTGGTGTTGTCTGTGGCTACCTGAATGTGGTGCCCTGCCAGGGCGTCTTGGAAGGACACCAGGGCTTTCTGGACTGCCAGCATCTCCAGCACGTTGATGAGGAGACGGGCTTCATCCTGGGTCCAGTGGCCCTGTGCGCACATGCCTGCGCAGTGGGTGCCCCGGCCTGTACTGGAGGTGTCCATGGTGACAGTCATGGATGGCTGGGAGGGGAGGAAGGGCATACCTGTGGTGGGGTTGGCTACTGTACTGCACCAGTGTAGGGACATCCTGACTGCTGTGGGTGGGGCTAGGAGGGTTCTGTGGGGGCCTTCGTCCCACATGAAGGCTTCCACGAACCAGAGTTGAAAAGGTCTCATGTGGAGCCTTGCGAGCTGCAGCACCGAAACCGTGGTGGCCATGAGGCTCAGGAGCTTCTGAATGGTGTGGGTGGTGGTGAGTGGTGCAGCCCTGACAGCCAAGGCCAAAGAAGCGAAGGTTTCTGCCCTTGGCTGAGGTAACAAGGCCTTGGCAGGGGCAGAGTCTAGGTGAGCCCTATGAAGACGATGGACTGTGTGGGGAAAAGAACAGATTTATCGTGGGTGATTAGGAGTCCTAGGTCCTGTAAAAGGTAGCGTGTAATGGATAGGCTACGATGCAGGTCCTCCCTGGAGGGAGCTGCAAGTAGCCAGTTGTTCAGGTAAGGGAACATCTGGGTGCCCTGTAACCTAAGGTGGGCACAGATGACTGCCATGCATTTAGCGAACATGCAGGGAGTCGTGGCTAGGCTGAAGGGGAGGACGCAGAACTGGTCAATTTGAAAGCATAGGAAGTTCCTATGCTTGGGGTGGATGGAGATGTGAAAATAGGACTCCTTCAGGTCAATGGAGGCGAACCAGACTCCTGGGCTAAGGAGAGAAAGGATGACCTGGAGCATGATCATTCTGAATTTGGGGGGGAGGGGGTTGATGAATTTGTTGATCCCCCCTCCCCTTAGGTCCAGGATAGGCCCAAGAGTGCCATCCCATTTGGGTACTGTGAAGTTCCTGGAATAGAAGCCTTTGGGGGCTGACAGGGGAATGCACTCTATTGCCCCTTTGTCCAGTACAGCCTGGACCTCCGTCCGCAGGGTGGGTGATGAAGTTGGTCTTGATGCAACCAAGGGGCAGCAGGGTATCAAATTCTATCCTATAGCCCCTTTGAATGATCGATAGGACCCAGGATCAGAGGTGATGGCCTCCTAAGCTGGGAGGAACTGTGCTAGGTAGTTTGTGAAGCAGGTGGGGGAGACAGGAGGGGGGCTGCCTGGACAAGGGTGTCAGTGCCTGTGCTAGGCATCCTAGCACTTTGCCAGGAGTCTCTGCCGGGGCTGGGAATCCTGTCTCTTGGTGGCAGGTGGCACTTTGGGGCTCATGGGGCGGTCAGAGAAGGGGAGGTGATCAGGGGCCGCAGGGGTTCCCTGCCATCTCCTTTGCACCAAGCTCTGCCCAAACCCCATGCGTTTGGCAGTGGTGCATGCTTTATGGAGCAAGTCCATATTCCCATTCATCTGGGCATTGAAGAGCCCTTTGCCATCGAAGGGAAGGTCCTCAATGCAGGCCTGGATTTCAGGGGACAGGAAGGCAGAGCACAACCAGGTGTGGTGGCGGATGGCTACTGCCCCAGTCATGGCCTTGCTGGAGCAGTCGATGTGATGTTGAGCTGTCTCAAGCTAGAACCTCGAGAGGCCCTCCATCTCAGTGTGAATGATGTGAACTGCGTCCCAGAGGTGGTCAGGGAGCTGATCTACCACGGCACCCATGTTCTCCCACAGAAAGAGTTGGTATCTGGCCATGGTGGCCTCATAGTCAGAGACCCTGAAGCCCATGTAGGTGGCCGCATAGATTTTCTTAGTCATAGTGTCTTGGCGGTGCCCATCTCTATCCACTGGAGTGGACTGATCCCTCTGGGGGGTGCCCTGCATGGACTCCACTATGACGGAGTTGGGCTTGGGGTGCTGGAAGAACAGAGGGAAGGCCTTGATGGTTGCCCTATAAGCAGGGTCAGCCCTGCGTAAGGTGGCCAGGGTCTCTGCAGGGGCTTTCCAGGACTGCTGTGCCGTGTGAAGCAGTGCAGGCAGGGCAGGGATGGACACAGGGTGCTATTCCCTGAGGCCAGGGCATCGTAGCACAGGTTGGCCTCGGGCTGAGGTGCTTGGGTGGTTTCAAAATCAAGGTCCTTAGCCATGCAGACAACCAAGTCCGAGAAGCACCCTCCCCTCCTTTGACAGGCGAGAAAGACAGGTCCTGCTCTAAGACCATCTGGCAAGTGAATGGAGGCTGCAGGGGAGAGGGAATATCCTGAGTCTGGGGATCGGCTCTGACCTGAGTCCCAAGAAGGTGAACGCTAGTATCCGCTGCTCCTGCTTTGATGATCCCGGTGAATGTTCACATGGAGCAGCGGTGGGGCTGTGGGAGCAGCGGCGGTTGCAAGCTGGCCTAGTGTAGGCCTCCTCACTGGTAGACAGGCCCTTGCTGGGCCGGCAGCGTTGGCAGGAGAGGAGCTTGTCCCTGAGGGTGGCGGTGCGGCAGCGATGAGGGTCCGTGGTATGGTGGTCGCTGCCATGGGCTCCTGACTTCTGGGATGGCTCCTCCTGGTCCCACGGCACTGGCGACGCTCACAGAGAGCAGAGTCACCGCAGCAGGAGGAAGTAGGGCTTCAGGCACAGTGTCTGTGGCACGGCCTGTGTCTCGGGGTTGCAAGTCAGGCTCGGGCACAGGAGTGTGGTCCTCCGACGAGGCCAATTTGAAGTCAGCCGGGCATGGTCTCCTTGCGCACAGAGTCGATGGAGGCGAGCTGGAGCACGGGGAGGCTGGAGAATGCAATGACAAAGAACCCCCCAACTCCAAAGGGGGGGCATGGTGTGTAGGCCAGCCTTGTGGCAAGGCAGTGGTGCCCATGGGCGCTGGTAGCAGCTGGGGATCCCCCGAGAGGGTGGAGGAGTGGATGGTGACTTCTGTTGTTGAAGAGGCTGCCAGGCTGCACACAGTCAAAATATCAGGCACAGGCAGACTCCCATCCGCTGCAGTGCCCAGGGAGTCCAGGACTGGAACCGTGGGGTCTTGTTCAGCGAGACCCCAGAGGCTGGGGACCTCGGCCAGTCTGCGGCAACCTCAGTTGCTGGGGGGGTGGAGTCTTTTGCAGCATGGTGTCGTTTCCTCCTCGTGGGAGCAGCAGCGCTGGAGGGGCCCTTACCCAGAGAGGCCGCCCGTTTCCTAGTCCTGCAGGGCATGGATGTGCCCTCGGCGGGAGGGTTGTTGCCCCCAGAGGGGTCAACAGTGATGAGGACCCTCTGCCATAGGGCCTGCTGGAGGCAGGTGGCCCTCTGTCGGCGTGTTTGTTTTTTAAAGGCCTGGCAGTGAGGGCAGGTGTCCACAATGTGGTCCTTGCAGAGGCAGAGGAGGCACTTGGAGTGCCCGTTGTTAGCGGGCATTCGGGCTGCACAGGAGGTGCAGTGGCAAGAGGAAGAGTCAGCCATGTGGCTCAAATGGGAGCATACGTGGCATAGGGAAGAGGAGACCAGAGAGGATAAGAGAGGAGATTTGTTAAGGAGGGAGAGATACAGAGCCGGCTTTTCTCTCTAGCCGAGAAAAGAGATGAGTGGGGAGAAAAAGCATTTTTTTCTTAATAGCGAAGAAAGAGAAAGAAAGAGACAAAATGGTGAACCAGGTCAGCTTTGCAAGCGGGGATCCGATCCGAAGTGACTCGAAGCACAGTCGAAAAGAATCTGAGGGACTGGGTAGGAGCCCCCCCCACTTAATGCTACCTGTGCAGGGGGAGGCCTGGGCTCCCGCCCACTCCATGACGCTGAGCTTTGGAAATTTAATCCAATCAAGGCCTCGTGCTCCATGGCAAGCCCATAGGTGTGATTGCACGGAGACCTGAAGAAGAATGTAGGTATATGTAATATATATAGAGTACCCCAAGTGCAAGTCATAAGACCCAATGGATTCGACTTTTCAACAGCTCACAGTGCTTTGCATAATATGAGAAAATTCTTCCAGAGCACTTCCAAGGCCTCAAAGAAGTTTGGGTGGCTCCACTACTGCTTTCCACTGGAGTGACCTAGACACCAGGGATCTGGAGGAGCTTCTGAATGTTGCTAGCAGAGGGTATAAAAGTAAATGCCCTAGCATGAAGGTTGCATCAATGGTAAAAACACCAAAATCCAAGTGGTAGCTCCACATATTATCCTGTGCACATAGGACATGCAAAGTTTATTTATTTATTTACATTCATTTATAGGCTGCCTATAATTGCCAAGGCCTTCCTAATTGCATCCCAAACTGCATGCAGCTAAATAAAATGCAAAGGAACTCAAGTTTGTCTGCCTGCCTTTTGTATCTGTCCGACATTTGTATTCTGCATTTTTACCTAGAAGGAACTTATAATTCTCCCTTCTGGTTAGGCTGAGAGTCAGTGACTGGCCCAAGATCACCCAGTGAGCCTCATGGCTGAGAGCAGACTAGAATCAGGATCTCTGACTCTATACCACACCATAATTAAGTTCCAATTTCTTATATAGTTCCATACACAGCCTAATTTAAGATAATGAGAGACTGGTTGAACACAGACTGGTTGACTACCAAAACCAGGCCTCAAATAGATACCTCTAAAAGCAAAATTAGTACATTACAAGATCTAGTGCCAAACTCACCATCAAGTCTGAGGTATTTGAAGCCACGATAAGCAAAATAATCTTCCATTATGGTCATGAGGGATGTCATCTGACAGAACAGTAGCACCTTGTGGTTAGTAGCTCGTAGCTTAGGAAGAATCCGATCTAGGAGTTCAAATTTCCCTGAAGCACGGTATAGGTCAAGTCTAGGTTGTACATGAGGAGAAGAGAAGAAATTATTTTCTTCAGGTGCGGCAATCTTCAAACAGCTTCAAGGTCCCCTTTCCATGTCAACTTATCTACTAAACCATGCTTATATAATCTGACATTAACATCCTAATGTATTTAAAGGATTCTGCAGCATGTTCTAAGAGAGGAGAGGGCAGAAGGTAGCTCTCTAGATGTTTTGTACTTCATCTCCCAGAAGCACCTGCGAGCATACTTCATGATCAAGAATGCTAGGTGAAGTCCAACATATCTACCGACCTATCTCCTGCTGATACCTGCCTAGTATAAGAACGTAAGAAAAGCCATGCTAAATCAGACCAAAGGTCCATCTAGCCCCACACTCTGTACACACAGTGGAAAACCTGCTGCCCACAAGCAGGACAGGTGCAACACCTCCTTCTGCCCAGCTACTCAGCAAGTAGGGTATGTGGGCATGCCAGAGGCACATAGCCAGCAAGGTTAGTAGCCACTTATAGCCTCCTTCCTCATGAATCTGTCCAATCCCCTTTTAAAGCCATCCAGATTGGGGCCCATCACCACCTCTCACGGCAGCAAATTTCATAGTTTAACTATATGCTGTGTGAAGAAGTACTTGCTTTTATCTGTCCTAAACCTCCCACCAATCAGCTTCATGGAATGACTCTGGGTTTGAGCGTTATGGGGAAGGAGAAAAATGTCTCCCTCTCCACTTTCTCCACACCATGCATTATTTTAAACATCTCTATCATGCCTCCTCTTACGTGCCTTTTTTCTAAGCTGAACAGTCTAAGTTGCCCATAGCTGCTCCTCACAGGGGAGCTGCTTCAGCCACCTCATCATCTTTGTTGCCCTTTGTATTTTTTCCAGTTCAACCACACCCCCTTCCAGTTAAGGTGACCAGAACTGAACACAATATTCCAAGTGTGGTTGCACCAAGGATTTGTATATGAGAAGTAAGATCTTGACAGTTCTATTTTCTATTCTGTTAATAATTATGCCTAGCATGGAGTTTGCCTTCTTCACAGCAGCTGAGCACTGGGCAGACATTTTATCAAGCTGTCCACTACTATCCCAAGATCTCTTTTTTGCTCAGTCACCACTAGTTCCGATCCCACCAGCTTAAGCTTGAAGGTGGGAGTTTTAGCCACAACATTATTCTACATTTGCTTACATTGAACTGCATTTGCCATTTTGATACCAATTCTCCCAGCTTGGAGAGATACCTGTGGACCTCCTTATAATACCTTTTGGTTTTAACCACCTTAAATAGTTTGGTGTCATCAGCTAACTTGGCCACCTCACTACTTACTCCTCATTCCAGATCATTTACGAATATGTTGAAAAGCATTCGTCCCAGTACAAAACCCTGTGGGATTCCACTGGTGACATCTCTCAATTGGGAGAAATTGCCATTTATTCCCACTCTGTCTTCTGTTCTTTAACCAGTTAGTGATCCGTAAGATGACCCCCACCCTTTTTTAATTTCATTACTGCTTACTTTGCTCAGAAGCTTTTGTGGAGGGACTTCATCAAAAGCCTTTTGGAAGCCCAAGTAAACAATGTCAATTGGATCACCCCTGTCCACATACTTATTAGCGCTCTCAAAGAACTCCAGTAGGTTAGTGAGGCAAGACTTCCTCTTGTAGAAGCTATTTTTTTCCAGCAGGACTTGTCCCTCTATGTGCTTATTGATTCTATCTTGAAAGCATTATTACTTTACCCAGAACAGATGTTAAGTGAAATGGCCTGTAATTTCCCAGACACCCCCTGGATGCCTTCTTATCCTGGGCATTGTCCAATACTCTGGTACAAGGCTAATTTTAGAGGCATGTTAAATAGTCTGGCAAGAAGGGAAGTGATTTCATGCTTGAGTTCTTTGATAACTCTAGGATAGATACCACTTGGACTGGGCGACTTGCTGCCCTTCAATTTGTCAATAAGGTTGAGATTTTCATCTTTTGCCACTATTATCTGCTCTAATTTCTCAGACTCCCTTCAAGAATGCATAAGCTCAGGAACACGTATCTGCTTTTCATCCTCTGCTGAGAAGACCGAGGGAAAGCATTCATTCATTCAGCTGCTCTGCAATCTCCTCTCCCCTTAATTGCACTCTCTTTTAATGGCCCAGCTACTGGCCACTTTCTTTCTTTTGATATAATTAAAGAGCTCTTTATTGTTAGTCTTGATATTGTTAGGAATGTGTTCCTCATACTGTCTTCGTGCTTCTCTGAAGGTCCACTTGCATATCCCGTGTGCAACGCTGTGGTCCTGTCTGCTTCCATTTGGGCAAACCTTCCATTTTTTGAAGTGAACTTTCTTCCTTGATTGCCTGTGTTAACCATGCTGGTGATTTCTTGGACTTTTCCACTTGTGTTATGCATATCATCTGTGCCTCTATTATAGCGTTTCTCCAAGTACTTTCCAGCAATGTAAACTTGATTTCTCTCTTCTGCTTCTTTACCAATTCCCTCATTTTTGGGAAGCTTTCCCTTTTGATGTCAAATGCAACTGTGTCTGACCTCTTTGGCAGTCTTCCATCTAACTGTATATTAAATTAGATACCAGTGTGGTTATTGTTACCTAATGGCTCAGCAACATTTACATCCCATACAGTGTCCAGGGCAATCCTGCCTAGGACTAAATCCAAGATTTCTTCCTCTCTGGTTGGTTCCATGACCACCTGCTCTAGGGAACTGCCATTTATGACATCAAGAAATTTAACTTCTCTGTCAGAACTGGAACTTGCATTAATCCAGTCAACATGTAGGCAGTTGAAGTCTCCTATTATTATACTACTACCTTTGTTGGAGGCCTCCCTGATTTCATTTCCTACTCAAGATCACACTCAGGTATTCTGGTCTGGGGAAACAATAGCATGGTCCTATGACTAAGTGGGTTTTAGAGCCAAGAATTTTCGTCCATAGTGCCTCTGTGGAGAAAGGTTCACATGTTAGATTATCAATTTTGCTGGACTCTATGCCCTGCTTACGACAAAGGGCAACAACTTCTCCAATATACCACATCCCCTGTCTTTTCTATACAGTTTATATCTAGAGATGACCATATCCCATCAGTTATCTCTGCTCCACCAGGTTTCTATAATGCCCAGTATATCTATCTTTTCCTGTATTGCCAGGTACTCCGGCTCTCCCATTTTGGCCCTGAGGCTTCTAGCATTTCCATAGTAACACCTAAGTACCCTATCACCCTCCAGCCATTATTTATTATTGCTGGTTATTGCAGCTTATCATAACCTCACTTCCTACTCCCTCCCCTCATACACTTTGACATCTTCCACTTCATCCACTAGAGATGATTTGACCTGAACCAAATGCTTCCCAGTTCCTGAACCCCAGGATTAAAATCTGCTCTGCCATCTGATTGGTTCCATTCTGGTTTAAGTGGAACCTGTCTCACCCATAAAGGCCCAGCTTGCTGCAAAATGGTTCCCAGTGGGTAGCAAATATGAAGCCCTCCTTTCAACACCACTGCCTCATCCATGCATCAAGAAGCCTCAGCTGGACATGTTTAGCTGGGGTTGCACCTGGAACTAGTACATTTTGGATTTCTACCTTCTACCTAGGAACCTAAATTTGGCTTCCAGGACCTTACAATTACATTTCTCTATGTCACTGGTATCAACATGGACCATGCCACTAACTCTACCCTATGCTATCTACAAGTCTATCTAGATGGTGTGTGGTATCCACAACCTTCACACCAGGCAGGCAATTCACCAAGCAGTCCACCCAGACATCACAAACCCAGCTTTCTATGTTCCTAATGACAATCTCCTACAACCAGAAGCCCTCACCCCCCAGTGGGGTATCCTCTGTGTGAGAGGATACACACTCACCTTCTAAGGAGTAGAGTCCTTCTAAGGGATCATCTGCCTGTTCCTCAGAATCACACCCTCCTTCCCTAAGACTACCTTCCTCCATGGCTGCATGAGAAGCTGTCACCCAGGAGCTGGGACTCTGCTAGTTGGTCCCTTGGGGTCCTGTCACCCAGACTGTCTACCTCTGTATGTTTCTCCAGCTGAAGAGAACAAATGTGTTCCCTGAGAACCAGGAGCTCTTTGCACTGAGCACACACCAACAATTTGCTATTGTAACTCTAGCTGCTGTTATTATATATTTAAATAACTCTACCGTATTCCTCCCCTTCATGGATCATTGCCTTGTCATGGCGAAGGGGCTTGTGTAGCTCAATGAAGCTATGAGCTATGCCGTGCAGGGGCACCCAAGATGGACAGGTCATAGCAGAGAGCGCTGATAAAACGTGATCCACTGGAGAAGGAAATGGCAACCCACTCCAGTATCTTCGCCATGAAAACCTCATGGACAATACCAAAAGGCAAAAAGATATGATGCCAAAAGATGAGCCATTCAGGTCGGAAGGTGTCCAATATGCTACTGGGGAAGAGCAGAGGGCTAGTACTAGTAGTGCCAGAAAGAATGAAGCGACTGGGTCAAAGCCAAAAGGATGCTCAGTTGTGGATGTATCTGGTGGTGAAATTAAAGTCCAGTGCTGTAAAGAACTATACTCCATAGGAACCTGGAATGTAAGATCTATGAATCAAGGTAAGCTGGATGTGGTCAAACATGAGATGACAAGACTGAACATTGACATCTTAGGAATCAGTGAACTAAAATGGACAGGAATGCGTGAGTATAATTCAGATGACCATCAGGTATACTACTGCAGGTAAGAATCCCTCCAAAGAAATGGAGTAGCTTTCATAGTAAATAAAAGAGTAGGAAAAGCAGTACTGGGATACAATCTCCAAAATGACAGAATGATCTCAGCTCGAATCCAAGGCAAACCATTCAACATCACAGTAGTCCAAATCTATGACCCAACCACTGGTGCTGAAGAGGCTGAAGTTCACTGGTTCTATGAAGGCCTACAACACCTTCTAGAATTAACACCAAAAAATGATGTCCTTATCATCATGGGGGATTGGAATGCTAAAGAAGGAAGCCAAAACATAACCGGA